TATTTGAAATTCATGAAATCTTTGCTTCCGCGTTAAACTTCTTCAAAACGTTTGCTGGTTCCTTGGCAGTGTGAATTGAACAGATTCCTCACACTTCTTTCCCTTATAAGTGGCGTAGATCTTCGTGTACACAATCAGCAACATAAACCCACCCATGGCCAGTTCCGGTGGAGAAAAGCGACGACCAGAAATACGTTTGTGTCCACAGGATAGGGAATAGCAAGGGTCGTAAATATAACTCGTTATATAATAATAATTGAAAAACTAGATCGTAATATAACTCTAATCGTCTTCTTTGCTTCCGGCATCATTCCGCTTCAATAAAGGACTTGTCAGAAATTAGCAAGGGGGGAGGGGGGGGGTGGGAATTTTAAATTTGGGTTCGGAAATTAAGTGACCCATCCCTGCAATGGGAGTGAAATTTGCTAACCCTCCCCTTGAGCTTGGCCTAAAATATCATGACCCTCCCCCTCTTGTATAAATGATAAAATCTAGCTCTTGCAATACACTAGGGTGCGTCAGTATTATGAAAACTCAAAATATATTTCTAATCTGTTCTTTGTCATGCTACATACATACATTTTCGATGACAGCATTAAGAGTCCGACTGATCACTCGACTCTCCTATTTCTCCCAATACAAAGTCTTCATCACTAGAACAAGTGGGTAATGCCTCATCCCCTTCATCTACCTCACATTCTTCATGATCATCCACCTCTTCCACACTGAGGGAGGTTTGTTTGTTTGCTTGTGTGCTCTCAGCAAATGACCGTAAGTGATCCATAATAGCATTGACTTTCTGTGGCTTGTTTTTACCCTTCACTGCAAGCAAATTATGTTTATCAATGTATTTGTCCAGAACACATACACGCTGTTTCGATGGGTTCGGAAATTAAGTGACCCATCCCTGCAATGGGAGTGAAATTTGCTAACCCTCCCCTTGAGCTTGGCCTAAAATATCATGACCCTCCCCCTCTTGTATAAATGATAAATTCTAGTTCTTGCAATACACTAGGGTGCGTCAGTATTATGCAAACTCAAAATATATTTCTAATCTGTTCTTTGTCATGCTACATACATACATTTTCGATGACAGCATTAAGAGTCCGACTAATCACTCGACTCTCCTATTTCTCCCAATACAAAGTCTTCATCACTAGAACAAGTGGGTAATGCCTCATCCCCTTCATCTACCTCACATTCGTCATGATCATCCACCTCTTCCACACTGAGGGAGCTTTGTTTGTTTACTTGTGTGCCCTCAGCAAATGACCGTAAGTGATCCATAATAACATTGACTTTCTGTGGCTTGTTTTTACCCTTCACTGCAAGCAAATTATGTTTATCAATGTATTTGTCCAGAACACATACACGCTGTTTCGCTAGTGTTCCACTATTCAGCATTTCCATCCAGTCAAATTCCTCATAAGACATTGTGTTCTCTTTCAAATTCATGTTTTTCTTTTCCATTTTTCTCTTCCCACTCATCATCTCTAAATGATTTAAATGTTCCAGGTATTCTCTCACAAGACTTTCTTCAACAATATATCTGTTGCAAAAGGTCTGAACACTTGCACTATCCTCGATATTGATTTCATTCTTTTTGTGGGCTTGCTTTAAACGTTCTCTAGGGTGATAATCATCCACTTCTCTTCTTTTACCGTCGTCTGTATTTGTGATGGGTGTTTCTGCAACAGGCAGATAGTGATACTTTGGAAGTTTGTTGATGTCTGGAACTGGACGAGGGGTGGGATCCACTGACTCATTTTCACAGTACTCGTGAAACATTTCTCCAGTAATCATACAGGATTCTATGAAGTCATCTAATTTTTTGAAATAGTTGTGTCCTGGGACTTTTACTTTTCTCGTCTCCGACTTTGCAGCATTGTATTGCTGAATATATTCGGTATTGAAAAAGAACTGCTGTTCTTTACGATTGGTAACAAAGGCCTTCATACAGTCACCAGCTGGTCCAGGCTCGCCATCGATTCTTGACACAACATCCTGGGCAACTCTCCATGCATTACGCTTCACTACTTCTGCCTCTAGCTCTTTCATTTCTTCAACTGTGAGTTTTTTCAGTTCTTCTTCACTAATGAGATCGGTTGGTTGAAAGTACTCCCAGTGTAATGCTCTGCCATCAACCAAAGCTTCACCTATAGCAGCGTTGGAACGCTCCGTTTCGTTTTGTCCTGAATCGTGTGGTGCCCTGTGAATCCTGTTCATGTCAGTCCAGTTATTAATCCTTGACATCTCAATGTCTCTGTACTTAACCTCGATGTTAGTGACCCCAACCCCTGGACCAGCATCTGTTGCTTGCAAAATATGGTCACAGAGTGGTGGCAGCTTGAGACTGTTGATGAATGCAATCGCAGCATCACAAAGGTTAACAGCCTTTTCTTGGTGTTCCCAGAGAGTATGTGCACTTAATGTTGAGCTGGTCTTATCGACGTCATCATTCACTTCCTGGATGTCGTTGATAATGCCTATGAGCTCAGTTCCACTGGCAACTTCATGGTGGGTGAGTGTTTCTTTCTCTTCATGGAAAATACTGACTGCTTCAGACAGCTGGTTTTTCAACCACTTCAGCTTTTTCATTTCATATTCTTTAAACTGACAATTGATGTCACTTGTTACACACATGACGTTACTTCTGAGTGTGCAATCTTTGAAATAAGATAAAATGTCATGAACACGATGACAAAATTTCCTCACAGGCAATGAGAACTTTGGTGGTGATATTGTAGATTGTTCAAAAACCTGAGGAACTTCCCATTTAATCTTAAGTTGATCAGAGGCCCATACACTTCCTGAGCTACCAATGTAGCTCTTAGGACGCACAGTTACAATTGTTTGATCGTCTTCGTGAATAAACTTTTGCTCTCCGTCAATGGTTGCAACTTTGCCTCTTATAAACCTAAAAGAAGATGGTGTTTGATGTACTTTTGACTCTGTAAAATCATGTTGGGGAAGCGCTTTTTGTTTTGAAGGGTCGGAATCATCATATATTACTCCCTTTTTGACATTCCTGGCTCCAACATCACTTCCAGGCCTGATGTATGCTTTGTCATCAAAACTGATCATTAGACTTCTAGCCCTATTCTCTTCTTTGAACATGTCAAGCTTACAATTGCGAATATGTGCCCTTTGATGATGGGTTGCTAGACCTAGTTCAGTTTCAGTGTTAGGGGGCTTTTTGGAACAAAGTAGAGACTTCCCACAATGTGCCTTTGCTGCCCTGGAATTTATATTTTTTGGTCTGCTTCTGTTAAGTACAGTTGTAGCCGATTTGATCAGCGTTTTACCACGCCTGTGTAAGTTATAATTAGCTAATGACAAAAAGTGGCACTTCTTAACACGATGATGGCTGTAAAGTACAGTATCCTGACGTCTACCATGTGCTGTGCTTGTCTCTTCTATAGAACGTGCTATGAACTCTTCATCTTCAGTATCCAATGACTTCTTTGCCCCTGCACCGAGTTTTCGTCTTTTCACTCTGTTCTCATCGATAAGTGTTTTAGCTAATCTTCGCTTCCTTTGTTGCAGTCTTCTAAGACTCTGAACGTCACTTTGTTGCAGGTCTTTCTGTATGCCTTCTTTTATGTCTTCAAGGCTTGACTTTTCTGCAATGAGATCTGCTTTTTTTCTTTCAGAAATCAAGCTTTCTCTTCTGCTTAGGATTTTGTCAATAGCTGTTATCTTTTCATCAATTACTTTTAATTTCTCTCCATCTCGTAGTTTTAGAATGTCTTCTGCTGCTTCATTAGCTCTTTCACATTCAGTTGATGCAGTCACAACTTTATTGAGCAACTTAACAGCATTGTCTGGCTTAATGCCTAGTTCTTGAACCTTCTTCCTTGAAGCTGTAGCAAAAATCATGGCTTTCAAAACAGATTTGTCGTATTCTGTATCCATAGACTGTAATACTCTCTTTAATGACTCCACATTCAAATCAAATCTTGAAAAGTTATCCGCCTTATCTTTTGACAGAAGTTGGTCAAGTTCCAAGAGAAACTTGTCTATAGCTACAGTATCATTTTGCAGAATAATGTAGCGATTATCAAGCACTTTTATCACATAAACACACAGTCCATATTCCTCATGCAAAAGGTGATTTCGAAATTCCTTATCCTCTACTTCTCTTTCCACGAAACCACAAAATATACCATAGGCGTCATTATACGGGAGATATCCAAATGCTTTAGATCCATCATACGATGCCAAAAACTGTCTAAGAATGTACAACAGACCTTCCAAAATTCGAGTTTTGACAGTGTTTTTTCTAAAAAACACAGCAAGTCCTTCGAGCTTTTCCTCGTTCTCACTAGCTTTGCACGACTGCAATGATTTCCTAAGATTTTCTGTCAAAGTAGACTCTAACCTGATTTTACTCCTTTGCTCAGAGAAATTTTACTTTTCTTTATCATTTTTGAGCTTACAGTCCACATCTACACTACCTGGAAGCTGGTCCGCCATTTTTGTTTGAGCCCACACTTTATTAGGTCAGTGACAGAGTAGGTACATCATGTATGCGAGACTAAGTGTATCACTCTGCTGTACAAAATGCCTGATTGCTCAGAAATTTCAGTCTCTTTCAGCGATGATGGCGAGTCAACTTTGTGAAGGTAGTGAATGTGTGAGTTCAAATGATCAGCTGATATCTACTTTTTTGAAGTTTGCGGACTTGGCGAAGTTTGAGGCATTATTTAAAACGTTCGGGGTGTACAAATTTGACCATTTAGCAGATGTACAAGTTGAAGATCTACACAAGTTTGGTAATTTTAAGCTCGTTTTGTATTTCGTTTCGACACTGATAATATTCAAATTCGGAGAGCTTTACTTCTCATTGCTCCACAACTGAATTATTTTTAGGTCTTACTGATATTGAGATACGGCGATTTACTCGAAAAAAGCATGAATTTGGATTGAAGTATTCCAGTGGCAGTACACTTACTAACTCGATTCAGCCCGAGATCGACCCCGTTCAGCTTACCGATCAT